CTTCGAAAAGCAAGATGCTCCGTGTAACTCGTCTAACAATTCCTCGATTATAGGAATTGAAAACTTGTCTGGCACCGTCAATTTGTTCAATTCCCGATAGTCCACACAAAAACGCCAACTTCCGTCCTTTTTGCGAACCAACAACACCGGACTCGAATAAGGACTTTGGCTGGGTCTAATAATTCCAGCTAATGTCATGTCTGCAATCAAACACTCAATCTCATTCTTCTACGCATACGGGTACCGATAGGGCATGATATTCGGCGGTTTGGCACCCGGGTGGAGCACAATAGTATGGTCCCCTGTTCTGGACGGTGGCAGCCCCAGTTTTCCCGAGAACACCGGTTCATATTCCTTCTCCAACTCCTCCATATAAGACGGAGCTGCTCCCTCCTTCCGGGCATTGGGTGAAAGGGTGTACTGCCACTGCACTAAATAACACTCTTCTCCCTGCTTGGCCATTTTGGCCACGGCGGTAATCGAGATGGGCTCCCGGGATAAGGCCGACACCCCAACCAGACGATGGACCTTCCCCTCCAGCTCGAATTCTAACCACATTTGTTGAAAATTTGCCCTAAAGGTTCCCAATGTCTTAAGCCATCCAGCCCCCAAAACCACATCTACTCCCGGTATCTCAAAGGGGTATAAATCCAACTCAAACGCTAAACCCGACACTTCCAAACACACCCCTCGACATACGGTATCTATAGTCACGCAATAACCATCCCCAACCTTGACCGTGTATTCTGAAATTGCCACTACCGTTAACCCCGGCTCCTTAACCTTGGTCCAACTGATAAACGGGGAATTTGCCCCACTATCGATTAAGATGGTTACCTGTTTCTGCTATAACCGACCGTACAATTTGAGAGTCTCTCCCCCATTGATCCCGGCCAATGCCTGCAACCTCAAGTCCGGTTGGAGAAGCAACAACCCTTCTTCCTCCTCTTCCGAGTCCGTGGTGGCGCGGCCCTCCTCTAGTGGCGCCGCCTTTCCTTATGGTTCGTCATCCTCCTCTACCCCGTTCTCCAGGAGTTTGAGGGTTCCTGTCTTGCACCGGTGGCCGCCGGACCACGGCTCTCCACACCGGAAACTCCCGGTTGTCCTTTCGCCGCTGCCGTTCCAGCTGAGCCGTGCTCGGACCACTGCCTTCAACAGGCTTCTGGGTAATCCCGAAAGAGGGACACTGGTTGTTCATAGAAACTGACCCCCATCTATTGGCCCCCAAACGATTTTTAGTTTGGAGTGGAGCCTGGAATGGGGATAAGTGGCATCCCTTTCCACGGTTTCCTTGGGCCTTCAATTTGTGTTCCAGTTGGAGGCCCAATTGAATAGCCTCATGTACACTCCTGGGTTGCCACATCCGGACATCATCTTGCAAATCCTGATTCAGCCCATTCAGAAAAATTCCCAGGGTTGTAGCCCGGTCCATTCCACGAATACGTGCCGACAACTCCTGGAACTGTTCCCTGTATTCTGCCACAGAGCCCCTCTATCGCAGGCCCACCAGCTGTTCCTGAATGGACCTGAATTCCCTAGGCCCAAAACGCTGCCCAAAGGAGAATTTCAGCTCTTCCCAATCCATGCCCAGTTCTTCCTCCATGACCCACTCATAGTATTCTCATGCCCTTCCGATGAGAAAATCAGCCACCACCTGCACGCGAACATCTGGCCAGATTAGGTGGACACGAAAGTAGCGCTCCGCCCGTCTCTTCCAAACCGGCCAACCCTCGCCATCGAAGGGCGGCAAATCCACACGAGGTGGACTCCCTCCAGTCCTCCGTCGGGGAGGAAACGGGTTGGGGGGCTCACCTCCGGCCCACGGCGGAATTTCCTCTCCGAACCGTCGTCAATCACCACCACCCTCCCAGCGCTCGGGGCCGCGCCTTCTTTCATGGTTATATCGGCCTCCTGCCCAGGTCGGTGGTGGCTCTACTTCAGGTGCTGCCCCTCGTGGTCCCAGTCCATCTGTTCGCACCATATAGTGCGGCCATCAGCCAGGAGGAACACCGGTGGCCGTCAGATCCCACGGCTCGCTCTGTCCTGCTCCCGTGGTGGCCTCCTCCGTTCCTGCAGCAGGAGCGGCGACTGCTTCCTTTCCCCGTTCCTTGGGCAAGGAACCCGGCAGTTCCCGATTGAAGTTCTCAACACTCTCCTTGACGAGAGTAGACACCAGCTGAGGTAATCCCTTGAGGCACTCCTCTAATCGATTTAACCCTGTCAGTTTCTCGGTCAATTCATCCAACTTCTTCTCTAATTCCTTCACGCGATCACCACGAGTTCCACCCTTCGTCATTCTCTCTTTTCCCAGATCGTAGGCTCTGATACCAAATTGTTGGATCACTGAGTACCTGCAGTACAAATACACACACACAAGCAACATAGACCAACACCACAGCTAGATTACCGAAGGAACCTCAACCAAAGGATCCGTTTGATTAATCGTCACTGGAAATCCACGAGCTCAGCTCGGCCAGCCAATACAATAGTAAGAATTATTCTAAGATGATGATAAACGACTACCTCCTCTTCTCACTCCTTTGTAACGTCCCTACTCTCTAGGCACTATTCCCTAGAAGTCTAACCGTCTAGGCCAGCTCAGCAACCTTCTCACGCACTCACCTCCTTTCCCCAACCAAAAACGTTGCGAGCTCCTCTGGCATACATCCGTTCGTATCTATTCCTCCTAGGCTCGGTTGTACAAAATGCAGCAAAAGTGGATAATCAAGTTGATGGGGTACAATTTCAGCATTGAGTACAAGCAGGGGAGATACAACCAAGTGGCGGATGGGTTGTCCAGGAAGGGGGAAACAGCGATGCTTTGCGCACTCACCTTCCCCGGCCCTACATGGTGGGAATCCATAGTAGAGTTAAACGACACAAACTCGTAAATCAGTCAATTGAAAGAGATGGTTGAAAGTGGGAAGTTGAGCACACCATGGTCCATAAAAAAAAAGGTGTTGTTCTACAAGGACTGGGTCTACGTTCCCGATGACTCGGACTTTGTCCCTATCATCCTGCAATAGTACCATGACTTTGGCCACGAAGGATTTTATAAGACAGTGCAACGCATCAAGGAATGTTTCCACTGGAAGAACATGAAGTCAAGAGTTAAAGGCTGGATACGCAAGTGTGATATTTGTCAAAGAAACAAGTATGACTAGCAGTTGCCTGGCGGGCTCCTACAGCCTGCCCATCCCTACTCACATATGGTCTGACATCTCAATGGATTTTGTGGAGGGTCTTCAGAAGTCAAAAGGGAAATCCGTTCTTTTGGTGGTCATTGATAGGCTGTCCAAGTATGGACATTTTGTACCCATGGCACACCCGTATACCGCTGAGGTTGTGGCTCGGTTGTTCTTTGAGCACATATTCCGCCTCCACGGGATGCCACAGTCAATTGTGTGTGATCGAGACCCCACATTCACCAGTCAATTTTGGACCGAATTATTTCGCCGCCATGGGACAAGCTTCAATTTTTCATCCGCTTATCATCCCCAAACGGATGGACAAACAGAGGTGGTCAATCGGACCATTGAGATGTACCTAAGATGCCTATCCGGAGCTAAACCCAAGGACTGGACTCGCTGGGTACCCTGGGCAGAGTATTGCTACAATACTAGCTGGCACTCTGCCACCAAAACAACCCCTTATGAAGCAGTGTATGGAAGAGCACCCCCAAACCTTTTATGCTATGTGGCTGGCACTACCAAACTGGCCGAAGTGGATGAAGCACTGCAAAACAGAGGTCGAATGATCACACTCCTGCGCACCAACTTAGCTGCCGCTCAAAACAGGATGAAGCAGGTGTATGACAAGAAACACACCGAGAGGGAGCTCGTAGTGGGAGACTGGGTCTATTTGAAGCTACAGAATTACAGGCAGAGTTCGATCGTAAGACGCAGGAATCAAAAACTCTCCCCTCGGTATTTCGGCCCATACCATGTCCTTGAAAAGATCGGAGTTGTGGCATACCGCTTGGAGCTGCCCGCTAGAAGCAGAGTGCACCCAGTATTTCATGTTTCCCTGCTCAAAAAGAAGATTGGGGATCAGGAAATAGCGACTGAACAACCCCCGCAGTGGGAGCGCTTTTCTGCACAGGACCCTGCAGAGATTTTGGCAACACGCTGGGTGGCAGATAGAGAGGAGCTCCTGATACGATGGAAGGGGAGTACCAAAGCCGAAGCTTCATGGGAGGCAAAGGAAACACTGCAAATGCATTATCCTGATTTCCTATTCCTTGAGGACAAGGAATGTTTTGGACGGGGAGGCAATGTTACGGACCTAACACTGCATGAGGGGTGAATTAGTCTTTACCATTATTTCATTTATTCTCTGCTTATTACTAATGCACGTAGAAGGCCTGTGGTCCCAATTCTGTTATTGCCATTTTCATTATTTCTGTTTCCAAGAAACGGTTGTAGCCATTTTGGGAGGAACCGTGGCTGAGTAGCCTAGGAGGTTATAAGAGGCTTCTGTAAAGAATATTATGGCATTGATGAATATACTCATTTCTCTGTTTTCCGATTATTCATTTCTATCTCGCGCCATTCTTTTCCATGGTCACAATAGCTAGGAACAGGTGAGGACGGGGCCGAGGGACCGCGGAGACGAGGGTCGATAACAGATGCTGACAGAAAGTAACACTCTGCTGAGAGAACACAAAATATGAATGTGATACTAACGGAAAATAACACCTTGCTAACAGAATACGAAACGCTCCACTAGCGGAATATCATTCATATTCTTTCATACTTATAACATACAACTAAAGTAAAGGCTGAAAGAAACATAACCATAAGTCAAGTTAAGTTTGAGACGTTTTAAAACTCAAAGACCAAAGTGGGATTAGAGTAAAATTCGGTGACTACTTGTGAAGTTAATCCTAAGCTTAAGTAATCACTTATCAAATAGTAAACACAAAGGGAAAATCTAAAATGAAAAAGCTATTGAAATTTCCAAATAAATTGTGGAAGCAAAGTAGTCAGAACAAGACATACCTCGGCAATACACTTGTTCAAATTCTTAGAAGAGTCTTCCACATCGTAGCAATAATACAAACTCAATGGATTTTGCTCATACCCAACGCTTTCAGGTATTGTTAAAAGCAAACTGTTCAAATCCAATCACAAGAAAAGAAAAAATTGTGAATCAAAATTAAATGGAAAACAGGAAATTTTAAAAATAATAATAATGATAAGGAAATGCGATTACACGGGACCGGTAGAGCCGGCGAATCGGCGAGCTTCGTCTGCGGAGAGGTGGCTGGGAAGTGGACTGCACGCGCCGTCAAGGCCGATGAGCGCGTACCTAACGGAGTAGCGGAAGGCGTGGTGGACCGGTCGCCGGCGCTCGTGCCAGACCGTTCCTTCGTAGAGAGAGAGAGAATCTGTGGCGGCGGCTGGAGAAAGCCCGCAGCGGCGGAGGAGGAAGCGGAAGGGGAGAAGGACAGAGAGAATGAGGGAGCTGAGAAAGGTGGAGAGGATTGAGCACAGCAGATAGAGTATTTCCATGGCCGTTCATTCCCATGCTTTTGGCATCACAATTTCTGTTATTCTCGCCATCGTGGAAAGAGCTCCCAAAAAAATAAAAAAATAAAAAAAAAAAGGCCAAGTAGGCGTTCCAAACAAGAGGTAACAAGGGTTTTTTTTTTTTTTTTTTTTTTTTTTTTCCTTCTTTTTTCCATTGCAGCCCAAACAATAAGAACGTCTGGTTCATAAATTTAAAATTATGATTTATAATTATTTTTAATTTATGTATATTTTTTATGAGAGAAAATACTGTAACGAACCATAAATCATAATTCGAATCAGGATACAAATGTACTAACCAAACGCACTCTAATTTTTTTTCTTTTCTTTATTGGTGCCCAAACAATAATTCCTAAAGAATTTTTACTGTAAAAATTGTCATTTTCATTGACTGCATAAATTACTCTTTTCACCATTACATTACGCTTTATCAGTCTGCTCTATAAATGTCCATATTAAAATTTTACACTGATATATAATTGTTCTCATTTATAGAGTTAAAATTGACTTTTACAAAATTAATCTAAATATTAAAATAACTATGTTCACCGGTATTAAAAAAGACACCATTATAAAATTTCCCTCTATACTAAAAACTGTACATGACTTTAAATTTTACACATTAAGCTCCCTAAAATAATAAAAGTGTCTCATAAGAGGCCCTTTCATTAAGATCAAGTATCAAAATGAATTGAAAACAATCACATGTTTTTCACATGTGTTTTCGTTATAAACAAGTAGGTAAACCAACATGAATTAGAACTCTTATTTTTTGTCAACTCTCAAATACAACAAATCTATTATTTCGTACTTTAATCAAATTTAAAAGACATCATATGCGGTGCATGAAGATAAAGCTTAATGTCACAAACACCTTCAAACTTTATATCTTGTTTTAACATGCCCCTCAAACCTCTTAGGGCTCGTTCACTTCGCGGGTTCGAATTTTTAATTCGAGCTGAGATGTGATATTTTTTTAGAGCTTTTCACTGTAGCAGAAAAAGTTAGATGTGACATTTTTTGAGAGCTTTTTACTGTAGAAACTTAAAACTGAAAACTCAAATCGGTGAAATGAACGAGACCTTAAATTTTAAAAATAGTTCCTTTCAGCTAATGAAGTATGTAGCATGAGCATGGATGAAAATGTATGTGGTTATCGAGGTTTAATTTATGGATAATGTCAATGGAAATGTCGATGTCGATGAATATTCTGAAAAAAATGGATATCTTGAAAAAATTTTAAAATTTTTTATTCAAACTGTACAAAATGTTAAAACAATCAATATTACTTGATTTAAACTACTTCAATAACATAAATAATACGATTTTTTATTAGAATATGAAAGTTACGTATAGTAAGAAATTATCATAATTATATATGGATTATGATTCAAATATAATTTTACATACTCATTCTCAACAAGGCACAATAATTCAATATATTACATAAAAATTAACTACCAAACATAATAGATTACACACAGACTTAAAGTGCTTTTAGTACCAAAACGAGTTTTTAGCAAATTAGAAAGCATTAGGTAAGTTTTGATCTTGATCTAAACAATACATTTGCCAAGATATTATCCTTGAATAATTCTAGATGTAGTTGTTGATGTACCACATGTATGTTTCTTGATCTCTTCTCATTATTAACCCATAAATTAGATATTGTTAGTTTATCAAACTTGTGGACTAGTCTTCAGGGATGTGTATTTACACTTCAACACTAATTTGTGGTGGAGGATACACTAATATATCATATAAACCATCTTGGTTTTATACTTCTGAAGTATATCCCATGTGAAAACTGTATGGATAGCCATATGAATTTTACTCTATTCATAAGCTCATAATCGTTTTGGACATTGCAGATATTTTATGGACATGCTAAGAAGAATATCTTTCTCCTTATATCCATGTCGAGACTTCAAAATATGGATAATATCGTGGAAATATCGACGACGTCGTGGACATTTTCATCTATGAGCATGAGTAAAATCTTTTTCCCTAGTGAATGAACTCAAAGGTATTTGACTATAAATCACTAATTTAAAAAATAAAAATTATTTTAAAAACTAATTAAGTCTTATATTTTTTATTACTTTTGATTTGAATCATGTTGTCACATTTTGTTTAAAAAAATAGGAAAAAATGTGCTATAAAATTCTTTTTGTGCAAAAAAAATTTTCCCGTGTTTTTGGGCATTTTAAAAAATATCTTGAATAATTACGAATATTCACGAATTTTACTGATATTTTTAGACATTCTGCATATTTTATGAATAAACTAAGAAGGTTATCTTTTCCCCCGTTATTCATGTCTAGACTTCAAAAAATGGATAATATCGTGGAAATGTCAACAATACCGTGGACATTTTTATTCATGGACGCAAGACTTCTCTGATCTTAGAAAAATTTCTCAAAATATTTTGTTCGTTCTTAGATTATCAAGTAAACGTGTATCGATTTTTCATCATTTGAATTTCCTTAAAAGGAATTTTCTTATTTTAAGGTTTTCAGCTTGATGAGTCGTGTTCTTCTTTGATCAAATCTGAGATTCAAAAGATGAAATCAACAAATTTCCTTCTTTTTCAACCAGGATTCATATTCGTTTTGTTGAGGGTAACTTCTTCAATCTTTGTTTACAATGTTAGATTGTAGTTTCTTTCAATCTCCTTTTAGTCTTCTGCCAAATTGATTTTATCCACGACATTAATCTTCTCATTCCCTTGATTTTGGGGATGAGTGCAAGTGAGAAATACGATTTTGCTTATTGCAATGGTTTTTTTTTTTCTAATTATTCTCTAGATTGTTTTTTTGTCTTTGAAATCTCCTGATATTTTAATCATGTTCAGAATATGGTAAAAAAAAAAGATAAAAATATTGATTGGGAATTGGGCTTGAGGTTGTTCATGTTCTTGAATGAAAAGATGTTTTTTTTTAAATATTTTTTTACTGTGTGTGAAAAGTGCTTTGTACGCAAGTGTTTTGATCTTTTTTCATTTTTTTCGCTGATTCGAGTTTAAAATTCGAGTTTTGCTATAGTAAAAAGTTCTCAGAAACAGTCACATCTAACTTTTTTACTACAGTAAAAAGCTCTCGCACAACATCACATCTCAACTCGAATTAAAAACTCAAATTAGCGAACCGAACGGGCCTTACATAAATATATGTTCACACAATCGTACAATAGTCTTCTAAACATTTGAATGAGTAGTTTTGTAATGCAACGGAATAGAAGAAAAGATGAAGTTGATAGAAATTGCTATAAAATTGCTCTGAATTTTATTAATAATAATGAAGAAAAACTGAACATAATAACATAATGAAACCTTATTTATAAGCTGGTAATTCTGGCATCTTTAAGAATCCTAACAAAAATCAACTATTAAAATCCTAATCTAATTCTGATAATGAATATAAATCCTAATAAAATAGAAATCAAACTAAAATCCTAATAGGAACCACCTTCCCTTGAAACAAAACTCATCTTCGAGTTAGACGTAGATAACTGTAGCTCGTCCGGAGGACAAGTGCCTGTTGGAAACCTCATTTTCTTAATAATATCATGACTAGATCCCCTTCATTAAACACCTTAAAACTCCGATGTTGATATGCAGTAATTATGGGTGCATTTGGAACTGTTTTTTGGCAGTTTTTGAAAACGTTTCCTCACGTCTTTTGAGGCACACCCCGGGACTGCCCTGGGGTGCCCCGGGGGTGTCCTGACGTTGTCCCGAGCATGTCCCGGGAGTGTCCCGACGCTGTCTCAGGGCTATCCCGGGGGTGTCCCGAGACTGTCTCGGGGCTGTCCTGGGGGTGTCCCGGGATTGTCTCGGGGTCTCCTGGGGGTGTCTCGGGGCTCTCCCGACGCTCTCCCGGGGCTGCCTTGGGCGTGCCCCGGGTGTGCCCCGAGGATGTTAGTGCTACTTTCAATATTACAGACTTGAGTCCTTTTGATGTAGGTGCTTATTTGAGGACAAATCCTTTTCAAGATGAGAGGAATGATGAGGACATCAGAGATACAACAAATACTCACAATCCAATTCAAGTCCCAGTTGGTCCGGTTACAAGGTATTGAGCTAAAAGATTTAAAGAATATTTGAATAACCTAGTCCAGAGAGTTCTACAACAGAAAGAGAGAGTGTTCACTACTGAGAGTGAACAAATGCTAGTTTTACTTATTAAAATTGATCCAGAAGAAAGCCATTCGGACATACACGTCCATTAAGCCATTGCATGGCCAATTCACATGTCATTCCAAGATACACGTGTAAGGGCAAGACCAAGAGGTTTAGGTGCAATTTCCAGCAAGGGAATAAGTCCAAAATTACGGATAAAGACTTGATTTCATTATCATTCTATTTTTTTAGATTTAAGGTTTAGTTTTAAACATTCAAATTCCATATTAGGCGTTTAAAATGAAGGAGTTAGACTCAAATTCAAATTCCTTCCCTAGGATTAGCTTTAGGCATGCTTTATCTTATCTTTAGGTATTTATCTTCATTTAGGCGCCTACCTCATTAAGGGTAGAATAGGATTTTTACAATTTTTAAACTCTTCAGGTTATTTTCGGCTATTTAAGGCTGAAATTCATATTAATAAAATAGTTTTGATGTTTTATTCACCTTGTGAGATATTCTTCTTGAGTTCTTGAAAAAACTATTCCAAACTTATCAAGGTTTCCTTGTGGCGTTCAACTCGACTTATCAAACGGATTTTCTATACTCGTTTGTGGCGTTTTCACCATACTAAGGTTCTTGCTTTTCTAAGCAACGGGTCGCGATTTCCATCAATTCTTGAAGATCTTGAATCGAAATCCCACATTTGGTTACAGGTTTCGTCACGTTGTTGGCGGGGTTCGTATCAATCGATATCAGAGCTTAGGATTGTTAGCTTTTGCTATCTTTTTTCTTGTTTATTGCGTTTTCTTTTCTTAGTAAAACAAAATCACACATTAGGGTTAGGGTTTTCAATTCAAAAAAAGAAAAAAAATTTTGTGATTGAATAGCTAGCCATTTGTTTTGAGTTTGAGTCCAACTACTATTGTTAGATTTCGACTTCATCTAGGTTTACAAAACCGATTAAAAAAAAAAAAGAA